GATATATGTATAATATAATATTTTTGAATAAGTTTTCCTATTATATAACAAATGTAATAAGTTTCGCTATAAACTCTGAAAAATGCTGAGTCACATCGGAAACAGTAATGTCACGCCAGAAACATTTATGTCACCCCCGACGGAAACAGTTATGTCATCCTTTCGATCACGTTCACGTGTTGTTACGTTACGCATTTTAGTTTGGATTCGAGATTTTATGTCGTCGGTTGCTATGCAAAAGTAAACAACACAGCGTATTTCCTAACGTCAAGAAGACATTTTTAGATTATTTGTGTAAAATTTAACGATTTTGAATTATTCTAAAATTTTCTTTTAATTTTAAAAATGCCATATAACATATACCACATGGCTTCTCGGGCCACTATACCAGAATATTTGCCCCTCGGTGACAGGAAAGCCCTGGAGAGTTATGTCACCCTTTGCCATCTGCATCGGGTGACATAACTCTCCAGGGCTTTCCTGTCACCTCGGGGCAAATATTTTGGTACGTCTCCCTCGAAGCCATGTGATATATGTATAATATACCATATATTACATGGCTTAATTCTCGGGCAGCAATACCTGAATATTTGCCCCTAGGTGACAGGAAAGCCCTGGAGTGTTATGTCGCCCACTGCCTGTTGTCAAATTTTAAATCGTTTAGAAGGAATACAAAAATAGTACTTGCGAATTTCTAAATTGTATAATCAAATTACTAAATCAAACAAATTTCTAGAACAAACGAATCTTATTCGACTCTTAATGAAGTTTTCAATAAAAAAAATTCTGTAGCAAAATTGTTTTCATCTTAAACTATATTTAATAATATGATTAATTCAAGTTAAGATTTAAGATATTTTTAAATGCATTTCCATATGCCGTACTTTTTTAAGAACCTGTGACTAAAAAAGCATGTAAATTATGCATTGTTTATTTATTTTGTTTAACTGGTCTATACTTTCATTTCTCCCATTTTGGTAAATCCAGGTCAATATTTTGATGAAAGAAACAACATACCTTGTTCTCTTAATGGAATACAATAGCGACATTTTATGAACATAAATATAATCAGAGGACAAATAAAGCACTGCAGAACACGATTATTCCTAATGTTAAAAATAATTTACACTTTAGTTTTCCCTTTTTAAATATATCTTTATATATCTCTATTTAAACTTAAAAGCCTAACTGAAATGAGAACTCCGATCCTCAAGTTCTGAAAATCAGGCATTGTATATTTGAAAATGCTCACAAAATTGTCTCTGATTTCTTAAAGTGGCGTATTCTTACCCACCATAATTCTTTAAACTTCAAACAAACTAAAGTTAATCATATAATATAGGGAAAATTAGTAAATCTCAAATAAATTCAGGAAAATTTTCCAGTTCAAATTTGATCAGCAAACATATTTAATGAATAAAAATCAGGTATCCAGGCCTTTTAAGAAATTGCACATTTTTTATACATATAAAGTACTTTAATTTCTTCTATTTACTTCGATCATTTTAAAATGCATAGTGCAAAAAGATTTTGCAAAACACCATTAATCACTTCTAATTTTATATCATGTTCATAAATATTGGTATCTAATGTTAGATAAAACTGAATCTCAATTATTTAAATTTTTAATTTTAAAATCCTTTTATGGAAAACAGAATTCGAGTTTTTAAAAGACTTTTCTGAGAAGTTCAAAGAATCTTGAAGCACATTGAGATATATAAAATGAAAATTGTTGCATGAAAAGTTCAATTTTCAAGCTTAATTTTGAGACTTTTTGAATTAAATTATAAAGTAAAAAGTTATCCTTCCTGGCCGAAGATCGGAGTACCTTAAGAGAAAAATTAGACGAAGGAAGAATGTTTTATTACATAATCTTCTTCAGAAATGAAAGTGTTGACGATATGTTCATTTTGATATTGAATCAAAATTAAATCACACCCTTCGATAAGAAGGTAATGCGATCTATGTTTTAAGGCGTTGATATTGCAAAAAATGAACCATTGAATGCCAAAAATAGAGTACAGGTAAAAATGTTTAATTTCTGTATGAAGACTTAGTTTGACCATTTTCAAAAGAAACAGGTAGGTGATGTTTCAATATATTCAATACTTTATATTAATTTGGTTATAAAACGTAACATTGAGAGGCTATATATTCTTTGGATACAATTTGGTTTGAATTCTGATGTTGTGATTTATTAATCCATTAGGTCATCATGTAATAACTATAAATCCTACTTTAAGGAATACAGTGTAATAATTCAGTTTATACATTGGTATGTTTAACTAGTATTTTAAAGATTTGTAAATATTTCAGTAGAGAGAAATATAATTTATCATTAATTTTAGCTCAACTAAAGGCTAAAGTCAGCTTTTCTGATCCCATTTTGTCTATGACAGGGCGGGGCAACAAATTTGAATCCAAGTTTTACACCGACGTAAATAAGAAAATTTTTAAAAATTTTTCTTCTCAGGAACTAATCGACCAGAAAAGCTGAAATTTTGCGAAAGCATCTTGGGGTAGTGTAGATTTTAAATTGTCCAAATTATTACCCGTGGGGTAGGTTTGGGTTCCAATCGGTATTACAAGGAGGGGGGGGGGTCTGGTAGAGAACAGCATGTTCAAATCTATTCAAGTGAGCGATGTGGCCCATCAGCCTTTTCTTGAATCTAAGGGTCAAAGATGTATCGCCCTTTGAATGTGTTTGTATAGAAAATAAAGTGATAAATGAATGTTATATTTGTTAAATTTAGATTTTTTTTGTGTTTGTGCTTGTTAATATGTTTGACTGTGTAGTTAAATCTTAGGATTAAAAATAAAGATTATTTTTAACCCGAAAATAAGAATCACAACATAAAGATATCATCTTCAAAGTCTTTCTACTGAAATAAAGAAAGTAATCCAACGCTTTATCGTCTTGCAGTTGTCATTGATTTCTACATGACCCAGTTACATACCGAACAGTATTCAAGCACAGGGGTTTGCTCCCGGCGTGTAATTATTATAAAAGATATACACATAAAAAAACCTATTATTACCCTCTTTGACATTTTATATAAATAATTATTACACACCGGGAGCAAGCCCTGTGATTCACACACAAAAGTTCATTAAGCAAAACAAAGAAGATGGGCGCATTTGGCGGGTGATCTGCAGGAATCATTTGTACGAAACATTTATGGTTTAAATGTCCATGATTTGGTTGGCTGAACACAGCTGGTCAGATTTTACAAACTCGTCCATAGGTGTTTTTTTTCATTTAGATTGAAAGATTGTGAAATTGTCACATTTATTTCCGTTTTTCCAAGGGGGTACTATAACACAGTAATGTTTTCACAAAAAATAAAAACCTAAAATATTTAATGCAATGATGCATGATACGTGTACATGTACATTATAGAATAGAAGTTAAAATTGATTTTGCTCGAGAACCAAACTGAACCAAAATTTATCTAAATCAAAATTTTAATACATAGTACATAAAAAGAAACTGACAAAATAAATGGTTGTTTGCCTGAATAAAAAAATCAACGCCCCATGCCAGGCTCGAACCAAAAACTTTTCGTTTCGAGTGCACTGAACAGGTATCCTAACTTACTGAGCTATCACCGCTACACATGAACAATTGTTTTTAAAATGGCAAAGAATCACCACATTGACACATTTGGATTTTTTTGAGAAAAGTTCATTTTTCGTGGTCTCTGGGTCCTCTCTCCATTTTTAAAAAAAAATGTATTCGTTTCTTTGAATTAAAATACACACAAATGACGTTTCAAAATCATGGAGAGAAGACCCAGACATAGAAAAATTTTAGAAAAACGTGTTTAAAAATGTACCATTTTGTACCAAATGTCTGATATGGCCAATTTTCAAGTTATTTTTTTTAGCAAATATAAGCTCAATTTCGGGAAAATATTTTTCGTTCCTGTTGCACAGGAACCCGATAAATTAAAATGATGTTAAAATTTCGTGTGAAATGTCAATAAAAATTTCACTTTTCAATTACACCCAGGTTCCTGCCGAATGCCAATCAAAAGCGCCCTCGTTCTTTGGAACAGAGTGAAAAAATACGCCAAATATAGAAGTAGGATCAGGTGCAATGGACCGGTCAGCATCCCCTGCCGACCGGTCAGCCCTTGTCATGATCGGGAAATAACGGGGAAACACGTCGACAATTCAGTGAGTCTAACAATGCTCTAACAATAAGTATGTTAGGTCAGCCAGCATTTGACATAAACATGATAAAGGTAAATTACATTTACTGACAAGGTCAATGTATTGACAATAAAACTTACGAAATGTTGACTTTTAACGATATTTCTGGTACATGTTTTCTTGTTTCATCAATTGGCTCGTCAATAACCTACCTTATTTTAAAACTTGTTAACTAGTATACGTAGAGCATACTCATATCGAATCAAATGCACGAGAGATACACATTAATCTTATAACTGACAAATATTATTCTAATGTAAATATAAAAGTCGCTCTGTTCATACATAATTTTTTAGCATTAAACCCCGGTATGTTAAACACAAATTTCTCTTCTTAACCTACTCACTTATGTCATAAAAATGGTATTCAGAAATCAATGCCAACTTTCCTTAATATTTGTATTTGTAATTAGAAACTAATCTTAACATACTTTTTATTTTATTCTTTTTTTTTGGGGGGGGGGATACAACAAATTTATTTTCCTGAAAAAATGTTAATTGAATGTAGAAAAAGACTCGTACAAGTATATAATTTGTATTCACCTTCAAAGGTATTTGGACATACATGTCATTTTGCCCTTCTCATTCGAAAACTTTATGTTTATTGTGTCCATAGAGATAGAGTCTCAAACACCAAAAAACCATGAACATAATAGCATAGTCAATACACAAGCACTCTCAATACATTTTGAGAAGATTCACAGACAACAAAAGAAATAAAGTACATTTCTTTATGTTTCAGATATACACTTTTTCTGCCTGATTCTTTAATAAGAATATATCGTGATGGATCACCATCTACCTCGGCTGTCAGAGAATGTGTATGTAGGACTGTGTCATAAAATAGGGAGTCCAACAGAAGTGAGGTTCAGGAAAGAAGTTGCAGACACTATTGAAGTGGTTGATAAACCTGTGCACATCATGAGGGGATTTGATAGAATGGTGAGTGGGAGTAGACGTGAGGGGTTCAGACTTCGAGGATCAGATGAAGATTACATGCTCTTGCCTCCAGACCACAAGGTGATATGTGATATCTCTCAAATAAGTCATTATCGTATCCCACAAATCACATTGATTCTGATGAACTGGGATGATCTTCCACCTGGATTTACCAGATTAAACCTGGTCAGTCGTTCAAATGAAGCAAAAATTATTTCATCCTGTATAGAAATAAACAACAATGTTTTCATTTCAAGTACTCTATTTAGAGAAAACTATTTGCATTTTTTAAAGACCTGCAATGTACCCAACAATACTGCCGTCCCTCATGGACCTTGTTCTACCTCTGTCGCATTCCAAGGTAGAGAAACTGACAAGGCATTCTGTTTTCAGTCACATCACTGGCCTACGTCAGCACTACCATGGATACAGAGATGTCGTGAACGGGGTTGGCCACACCAGAATGTCATCTTTGATATATTAAGTGGAGGATTTCATGTTGTTCCGATCGCAAGCACACCTGAAAATGAACTAGAATGGAGAATCTCATTCTCTAGAGCAGAACAAAAACTCGTTTATTCAATGAATCATTGTCAGTTTTTGTGTTATGGTCTCTTCAAAATTTTTCTGAAGGAAGTTATTAATAATCGGCCGAATACATCCAATCTCTGCTCATACTTCATAAAAACTATTGTATTTTGGGTCATACAGACCAAAACGTCATTGTCTTGGACACCTGATAACTTATTGTTTTGTTTCTGGAAAAGCTTTAAATTATTGATATACATGGTACATACTGGGGAATGTCCAAACTTTTTTATTCCACAAAACAACATGTTTAGAGTGAAAGTCACTGGTTCTGTACAAACCTCGATGTTTAGTCAGTTGTATGATTTGTATAATAAGGGAATATCATGTCTACTATTAAGTGAAACACTCCGACCTTTTCTCAGTATTGCTATATTAAACAGAACATTAGGAGTCTCTACAGACGAGAGCAGTGCCATATCCATGGCAAAATTAGATATGTGCTTATTTATTGAGTTAACATCATCTAAACATAATATTCTGGATTTAAAAGAAATTGCAGCAAACATAAAACAGGTAGAGAGAATTATAAGGGGAGGGTTGACATCATATCAGCAAGTCATTTTACAATGTATCACATCAAATGTGCTTCGCAATACTGCCATGCTCTTACAGAGTCTCCTATCTCAAAATGAAAATCAGAATAAGATTATTTATAAAGCAAAAGTAGCCGCATTACTGAAACAGTCGTGTAAGTTTGGTTGTTTATCTGACATTCTGTATCTTGCTATGTACTTCTACAGAACACGTAGATATGAAGACTCGATCAGCTGTTTACATAAAGCGCAAGAGAGGATGTCAGTGCCGTATATCATGTATAGGAATCGGTCAAATCCAGATATATACAGAAACTACATGGAGAGGAATACCCTTGGTACTAGGATGAGGAGAGCTCTAGTGAGAGATATTAGGCTAAACGTTATGGACATTTACATTGTTGAACTTGCGTTAGAGCAGAAAATTTGTTCAAAAAATGCGATATGGTCATTAACCATTCCACCTCTTGTGATGTTGAACATGTTGTTCATACTGAATCACCACAGACTGGGTGACACAGTCAGGTCACGACAATCTCTACGTGATCTACAGTCCCTCCTTCTCAGTGATGATGGAACTCATGTACCCCATCTCCTCAGAGATATTTCGTGGCAAATCGTCGGAATCTGTCAACAAATCTTTGGAGACTATTCAGGATCTCTCCTGTCTTATCAAAAATCCCTACAACAAATTCCATTCAACAAGCTTCTGCAAGCAACATTGTTCAGAATAAACTCTGTTCAAAATGAAGAGTTCTGACTTTGTTTTTGTTCATATATAAATGTACATACATGAACGCGATACATACATCATCAATTAATATTTTCTGTAATAAAAGTAATTCTTCCTTTCAATAGTGTTGTATTTCATTGTACTGAATTGTACTGAATTAAAGTTGATTTGTCAATACGTTTTCTTATGCCGTACTAGTAACATTTTAATGTTACGGACCTCTGACTTAAATGATATGCATGAAAATTTTTCAATATCAATATGTAACTGTTGTTTTCCTATATGTAGAACAAAAATACACAAGTGGCATAACTTTTTTCTGATTTTTTATTTTATCTATTGTAACAAATATATATGAAATTAATTCCTGTGCTAACTGACATTTGTGAACATAAGAGTCTTTTTATACTATAGAGTCCATTCATGTTAACATTATAATGTAGATGATTCTGTCATTACTTTATCCTTATTCATTGATATTTTTGTCAAAGCAATCAAATTTCCGGTGAATCACAGACTCTTCCATTTTCAAAATACACCTTATGTATCTTCATTACAAAAGAGCTAATAGGCTCAATATTTTTTTTCAAAAAAAAAAATACAAATAAAAATATACTTCTGAAAGTATAGTGAACTGCAGAAAGCGGATTTGACGGTAGTACAGTAGATTTGCTCCAGTTTTATTGGAAGTTTTAACATTCAAAATTCAGAGTGGAGATATGTTCAACAAAACAATGTAGAAGTTTTCACATTTCATTTTGTATATTTACAAGTGATACAACATAGAAATGTTTTTTTTTTTTATAAACTTTTACGTAGATTTTTTCTGAAAGATGTTGCTTTGTCTATTAACTGAAAACAAGATTTTTAAAACTAAGATGAGTAGTGCAATATTTTGAGTCACTTTTGAGTATATGTTGAAAAATACATTCTTGTGCACAGAATTGGTCTGACTTTTGTTTTTCAAATCTGGCATGATGGAGTCGCATTTTCATTCTTTTTACAATAAAAAAACTGAAAATTACACGTTTATTCATTATACTCTGTAAAAACACACGAATTGAACATTCAACATTGTCCAGCTGCAGTCTGGAAAGCGTTTTGAAAGGAACGTATGTTGAATATACATTGAAAATGTCCCCATTAAAATTTTCATTCAGTCAAACCTGGGTTTTACATGAATTCAGCTTAAGGATTCTTAAATCCTTTCAAAATCGTGTATATAATTCTGATGTATTCAGAGAACAGAAAGGAAATAAGATTGATTAGGCCATCGATAGAGCTTATTTTAATAAAAAGAATTCGACAAACAAAGAATGTTTTATCGCCAATGTTTCTTTAGAGCATAATCTACTTATCCAGTCAATCAAATGCTCGTTTGTCAAGCGAAAAATGGATTTTTCATGTTGAAGAATTCTTCTATTTCTGAAATATTTAACAGTGTTTGATTTGTTCGCTTGACAGTTATAAATATGGACGTGTCTTTATAGGTTTTTGTTTATCACACAAAAAGCATTCCAAAAATCAGGTGCTGTTTACAAGTTATGGTAATATCATATTTAGAACATAACCTACTTATTCAACCAATCAAATCATCAAATTGATGTTCAATTTTTGCTGATCATTAGAATTGCCTTAGTTAGGAATTATAAAAATAAAAATTGGTAAATTAAATAGCTTTTATAACGAGAACAGTGTTTTATGTTGTCATGCAGATATGGAAGGTTCTATTGTCAAATTTTAAATCGTTCAAAAGGAATACAAAAAAAATTACTAACGAATTTCTAAATTGTACAATCAAATCACTAAATCAAACAATTTCTAGAACAAACGAATGTCTTAATCATACAAACGATTATATTTATTATTAATGACACTAATACGTCGCCGTACAGATCATCTCCATCTTTTTCGACTCTTACGGAGGTTTTCAATAAAACAAATCTGTAGCAAAATCGTTCTTATCTTAAACTGTATTTAATATGATTGTATCAAGTTAAGATCTAAGATATTTTCAAATGCATTTCCATATGCCGTACTTTTTTAAAGACCTGTGACTAAAAATGCATGTTAATTATGCATTGTTTATTTATTTTGTTTGTCTGGTCTATATTTTCATTTCTCGTATTTTGGTAAATCCAGGTCAATATTTTGATGAAAGAAACAGCATAACTTGTTCTCTTGATGGCATACAATAGCGACATTTTAAAAACATAAATATTATCAGAGGACAAATAAAGCACTACAAGACACGATTTTTCCTAATGTTAAAAATAATTTACACTTTAGTTTTCCCTTTTTAGATATATCTTTATATATCTCTATTTAAACTTAAAAACCTAACTGAAATGGTCCGCTGTGTTTATTTTGACATTGAATGAAAATTAAATCACACCCACCTAGTAACAGGTAATGTGATCGATGTTAAAAGACGTCGATACTTCTAAAAAATATCGACATTGATGAGTCATTGATTGCTAGAAATACAGAACACGTAAATACGTTCATAATACAAGTCGAAAGTTAAATCAACTGAGGATTTTTTTTTAATTTCTGAATGAATACCGGTATTAAGTCTAGCCATTTTCAAAAGAAACAGGTACGCGATGTTTCAATATACAACTGTATTTAATACTTTATATTTAATAAGTTATGAATCTAAATATTGAGAATCAGAGATCTGTTTGTGATTATTTAAACTTTGATATTTATTTTGGAGTAAATTACACTTATTAACTGTAAGTAAATCTTTTATAAATTAAATTTAATGATCATTAACTGAACGATAAATGAAATAAATTATTTTTTTAATTTAAACTTGCCAAATGAGAATTATAATGTGCTCAAGTGAAGGGTTTTAAGTTAATAAAGTAAAAAAATCATAATATAAAGCAATAGTAAGAATATATTTATTAATAATTCATGTAGATCTTTATAGCTCTGGGATTAAATTATGACTTCAGGCCCCAAAACCATAAACTGAGAACAAACTTAAGTCAAAATTTCAAATTGATATAACTTTGGAAATAATTTCAATAATAGAATAAAACTTTCAACAAATGATTGAATTAAAGTATTTTACACAGTTGCATTATAAGCTAATACATCGAATAAAACTGAAGATATTAAAAATTAAAATTTTGACTTTAGTATATTCTCAGTTTAGGGTTTTGAAGCCTGGGTCCGCTGTTTTTTATACTTAAGTCTGAGAATGCTCTCAAATCTAAGAATTTTCTCAAATCCAAAATTCTCAGACTCAACGGCCGTCATAAAAAAGTTGAGAAAAATGATAACCGATCATCAACCGTTAGTGTCAATTTTCAATCCTAGGAAAGGAATTTCTGTAACCTCTGCCGCGCGAATGCAGAGACATGCTATATTTTTAAGTGGATATACGTACATCATTAAGTATCACAGCACAAAGCGCCACATGAATGCAGATGGACTGTCAAGAATTCCTCAAGAAAAGGAGGAACTTGAAGCCGAGGACTTAACTGATGTAGCAGATATGTTTACACTCAGTCAAATGGAACAAATATCATGCCCTAAATTACGCACCAAGAAATTAGAAGAGCAAAAACAAGAGAAAAATCTAAAGACAAATTTTTGTCAAAAGTGAACGATTGCATTGTTAATGGTTGGCCTGAAAATGAGGATACAAATCTGAATGCGTACTTTAATAGAATGTATTAAGCTAAACGGAATAAACCATATCCGATCAGCGCGTACTCTATCATCCTGCAACAAATGGTCTGGTAGAAGGTTTTGTTCAAACCTCTAAACAAGGAATTAAAACCATGGATAAAGAAAATACGGACATTCATAAGAAGTTAGCAAATTTTCTTCTTACGTACCGTAACACACCTCACTCCACAACAAATGAAACGCCAGCGATGGTATTCATGGAGAGAAACCTTAATTGAATGCCGTTTTGACCTTATCAAACCTGACCTGAAACGAACTGTAAATGATAAGCAAATGAAAAGTGCAATCACCACCAAATCAGAGAAAATAAGAGGCTGTTAGGGATTACCGCGGGAAGGAGAAATTGAATAGCGGGAGAAATCATTCATCGCAAAGGACCGTTGAATTACGAAATTAAAACACAAGCAGGGGGATTTGGAAGCAACAATTGCACGCCGACCAAATCAGAGATGCCGAGTTCAAGGCCGGTCCTGGGGAAAATTCCGATGCGGTAACGTACACCAATTATCAACGATAAAGCAACTGACAGTGAAGCAAGCGAGACGTCTGACCAATCACCGCCGATAATCAATGCGCCACCGGAATGCAGATATCCGCTGCGAACCAGGAAGCTCGTGGTCAAATTAAATTTGTGAATGGTTGCTTATATACCATCGCATGGGTCAATTATTCCCATAACAGCCATAACTTAGCAGTGGTTGTAGTGCTCGTAGAAACAGAAGTTTCTTAAGCAACCACATTAGTAGATAATATATCTTGTAGTAAAAGTTATTTGTTGTATATCTTTACAAATTATTTCTTCTTAAGTATTTTCAAAATTAAAGATTAAATTTCAATATAATTTTATCTGCTTAACATAAAATAAGAAGGGAGGAAATGTTGTGTTCTGATATTCAGTATATTAATAAACAGCACTCTATGGCCGTATAAACAAACCAGTGAACTGTTTATATTAACTTTACCATGAGTTCGGACATTCAATCTAGCAATCTATCCCAGGAATATCATATTTCACCGCCAGCCTTAATACTCTTTACATATGTTTGTATGCTTTAGTCTAGAATAAAATGCTAATCTATAAACTTAAAATGCTTTTTTGTCTCATTTCTTGGGTTTAATAAGAACAACACAAAACGATGAACTATAACAAAATCAGAATAAGCGCCCCAGAGTGATTGTCTGTAATCATACCCCCACCCGTCTTGCATTTAATATCTTATTTTAATTGTTAATTGTCTTCAAGAAAGTATAAGAAGTGCCTCTGAGTACTTTCAATCCTGTGATAAATTTCCTTATTGGCTGCTACCTTCTACAGGCTTAGT